GGGAGGGTGGGGGGAGGGGAAAGGCGCGGCGGCGTTCGCCTGTCTTCTGATTGGCTCAGTGGGTTTCTAGGGCTGTGGCGTCATCGGGCAGCTTTTACAAGACGATGACGGCACCGATTCCCGCGGGGCGTGGGGGAGGACACGGGCGCGCGCTGCGTGCACGCGCACTCGCTCTCACACTCACCCTTGCACACGCGCCCCTGAGGGGCCGCGAGGGTGGGGGCCGGGCCCCCTCTGAGCGCGCTCCCTCCTGGCTGCAGGGTGTTCTACAAGGTGAAGAGCCGCAGCGCCCACATGAAGAGCCACGCGGAGCAGGAGAAGAAGGCGGCAGCGCTGAGGCAGAGGGAGAAGGAGGCCGCAGCAGCTGCAGCCGCCGCGGTCGCCTCGCACCAGCAGGCCCTGCGGGAGGAGGGCGGCGCGGGTGACAAGGGCTGAGTGCGGGAGCCCTCTCTCTGGGTCCCGGGCCCTGTACCGCTGCCCGCAAACACCCTGGAACCTCAGGAGGGAATGAGGAGAGAATCACATGGACCTTTCTCTGCAAAACAAATTTAAGACAGTGAAATAAACGGCTCTTTTATTTATAAAGGCCCCAGGAGCAGTGTTAAGGGCTGCAAGATCCAGTTCTCTTTGTCCTCATGCTTTCCCGGAACACGAGAGTCCTGGTCCCCTCTGGAGGGGCTCCACGGCCGCCTCTCACACTCCGGTCTCTGCTGCTGTGCTGCCGCGGTCTCTTCGCTCCTCTTTGCCTCCCCTCCTCCCCTCGCTCTCCAGGAAGCCGCCGCGGTGAGCCAAGCACAAGCTCACCCTCCTTGCAATGTTATTCCTCCTCCCCAGAGGACCTCGAAGGCTGCACAGGCCCTGCCCCAAGCCCCAGAAAAAGGAACTCCCTTGGAAGGAGTGTAGTGTCCATCTCTGAGAGCCTGACACTTGTGCTGTGCCTGCGCAACAGTATCCGGGCCTGTCTGAGCTGCTCCAGTGACCTGTCCTCAGAGTGGCTACCTTTTCCCTGGGAGGGAGGCCAAGACAGGTACTATCCCTTTGCTGCTTGCTAGCAGCCCTGCTGGGGCTAGAAAGTTTGATCAAATGTTTGGGGAAGGGGCCATTGTTTTTGGCCAAAGCTCTCAGCCCTCTGCAGGGAAGAGAAATGTACAGAGGCTGGAAGCTGCATGGCTAGGCGTGAGGGAGCTGTTGACAAGCCTGGCCCTTCCTGCCTCCCACCTTTTTGCCAAATACCTTTGAGACCTGGAGGCTGCTAAGGGAGCTTAGCCTCGAGCAGGTACTGGAGAGACCTAGCCTGCTCTTCCTTGGTGCCAGCTCCCTGCTTGCCTCTGCCCTGCCCTCAGCACCTGCCACCTCACCCTACCATACCCCATCCGATGTTGATGTCCACAGCTCAGCCCCCAGTTCTGTACGCTGGAGATTTCTGGATCCTTCCCTGGGAGAGGGAGGTCTCCTAACTAGATTGGACAGGAGCCTTCATTCCTTGACTTACGTCATTTGGGAGCTATTTATTTATTCTTAATATTTAATTTTTAACATCCTCTCAGGGACCAGGGGCCTCCTGCTTTCCAGAGGCCCAAGTGCATTTATCCCAAAACAAGGCACCTTCTTGACATCGCTTTCCCCACCCCCAGTTCCCAAGGCCCTAAGGTCCCTCAACTCGTTGCTCTGGAAGCTCTTGCCAATAGGAATGGTAGTAGCACCGAAAGAGGGTGGGAAGGTAGAGGGTGTCACCAAAGCCACACAAAGACTAGCAGGAGCAAGGGAGATCAAAGGCACTTGTTGCTGCTGCCCCTTCTCAGCTGTACTTTAAAATTGCCTGAGGGAATGGCAAGAGGCCAGAATTCTAATTTTGTTTTTCAGGCCTTGAGTCTGGCTTTAAAGAAGCCATATTTGGCATGGAGTCACTGAAATGAAAGGGACAGAGGTTCTGGAGGCCTCTCACTTGCCAGTCCCATAGGGGGACTGAGTTATTTTTCTGATGTTATTACTCAACTTTGTGCAAAAGAAATTCTAAGTGGATGCACATGACAGATCAGCATGTTAGGAAGGAGCCAAAAACTATTCTGCTCTCCTTATACAGTAGCCTAAAGGCATCATGCCAGTAACTGGGAGTGGAGAGGGAGTTTTGTTTTGAAACTATGCACAATCAGGTCGGCATCCATTATACGTTAATATGGTTCTACAGGATCCCAGCTATGGAAGTAACAAAATTCTTCTCCCTCCAGACTCCTGGATGACTACCTACATCTGCAGTTTCCCAGTCCTCCATAGGCTTCTGCAAGCTCAGTGTCCCCAAACCGCAAAAATCTGGTGTACCCTTTAAAAGCAGGAGGGCAACAAATTTAGGCTCTCTTCTAAGTTGCTTATATAATATGAGTGCCTTTGCAGCTTAGCCCCAAAGTGCTACTTATGTTTCCCAAGGTTTTTCCTACTCAAACTATATTTAGTTTCAGGCCCCTTTATGGACATGTGATAATAGAAACCTCCTTCATTCATATGAGACCCTTCTATTCAGTGGTAACATCCAATACTTGGAAATCTTTTTTAATAAGAAAGTGAGTCTACTCTTCTAAGCTCACAGAGACCAGACCAGGTGAATAACTGGTGAAAATAAGGGTGGTACCTCTCTGTAATCCCACCAGACACCATATTTTAGGAGGGTCCATGCTCCAGGATTCATTTATATGTAGAATGCAATGTGAAAATCAAAATGTTTAGAGGGCAGATGCAATTGTGGCAAGTGACCTGCCAATAAAGTAGGTGCAGCCATAGAAGCTGGCATAGGTATATCCTTAATGGTGCTTTCTCCTGGTGAACACATTAGGCTCGTCTTTTGTTGTTGTTTTTTCCTTCTATTCAGAGCTCTTTGCTTTAAGAAGCTAAATGATAAACACCTCCAGCTTTATAGTCCTCTGCATACCATCTCACCATATCCATCTCCTGCCCTCTATCTGCTTTCACCTAAGGGCGTGAAACTGACCTAGTGCCTGTGTTCCAGACCACCTCTGAGGTCTCTACCCATCCAAGGAGACAGTGCCATCATTACTGTCCTCCATGCCTTTGGCAGCCCCCTTACAGCTAAGGTACACACCGCCCCTTCTGCTGCCCCACCTCCACCCCTGGCACAGAGATCTTTTGCTGCTTATGTCTAAAGGGATCGCCTATATTTAACTGCCTCAGTGACCTAACCTCTTTCTCCTCATGTGCCAGATGTTAAGATGAAGGAGGAATACAACACATACTCAAGCCTCAGCTGTTTAAATATGTTTTCACTGGGGCTCACTTTTCTGGGATGGTATTTATTATCAGACTGGCAAGCCTAACTCCTTAGGTTTACAGGAAGTATGCATATTGTAAAACAATTGTGTCCTCCCCACATCTTGCTGTGTTAATATTTGCCTCTAACAATTTGCAGCTGTTTCACTTTTTCCTTACTCGTCTCAAGTTGAAGGCCTTGTTGGAGGGGACAGAGCACAGGAACAGCCTTGACAGTCTGTAATTAGTGTACAAATATTTTAATAGCATATAAATAAGTATATTTCTTTTATTTTGAAACAAAAATGATCAGACACTGCCTTTTGTGAGTTTGCTGCCTGTGGCACCCTTTTTTAAAAAGACTGTTACATATTAAAATAGTGTACATATATATAAATATTACCTCTTTTGCTGTACAGTTGTGATAGACCAGACTGAAGATTTTATTTTTTGTGTGCTTTTTATAAGAAAAAATTAATACACTAAAGAGAATCTTGCTGATGTGATTGTAATGTACCTATGTAACTTATTTACTTTTGAATGTTCTTCTGTATCTTTAAACCTTTTATTAAATAAGGTTTTGAAAATTCAGAGTTGAATGCTGTGTTCTTTTGGGGGGATTTTATCCATCTGGAACTGTCATAAGTAGGACTTGTTTTGCTTGTAGGGAGATTACTGGACAGTTTTTTTATTATTTTAAAAATTGTTTTATTGGCTAATTTTTTTTCTATTTTTAATACAGACGGTCTCGCTTTTGCTCAGGGTAGTCTTGAACCCCTTGACCTCAAGCAGTCCTCCCGCCTCGGCTTCCCAGAGTGCTAGGATTACAGGCATGAGCCACCGTGCCCGGCCAACTACTGGACATTTTTGAGCCATAAGGATTCTGTTTTACCAGCCCATTGTCAGTGACGCCAGCCAGGACAGGGGAAATTCACACTAGTGTTTGCCAGACTACAAAGATGACTGAGTTGACACTGATAAACGTCTTTTTATAAAATTTAAGACAAAAAGTCTAAATTCAGTATTTCGCACAAATACACATAAGTGGCGTACTCTGACATTTTAGCTTCCTTGGGATGAAATATGGAGGGTGCAGGGTGGGATCAAGGGGAACAGGGAGGAGAGTATTTTCATATGCAGCCTGGACTCATCACCGTGATGGGTGCATTTTCAACAATATCTTAAATCCACTTCAGAATGAGATGATTTTTTAACACAGTGCTTGGCAGTATTTGTTCACCGTAAAAAATATCTGGAAAATACGAAAAAGAAAATGCGCCAAGAGAGAAACGAGTGTCCAAGCCCTTCGCCGGCACCATGGCAACCGCTCGACCCCGCGGGCCGCCAGAACGCGCGGACCTCCAGTCGTCCAGGACACCGTTGCCATGGCTACGCCCGTGCGACTCTGCCACGGGGGCGGAGCGGAAGCCGCCGGCGGGCCGGCCCCGCCCTCCACTGCGGCACTAACCCCGCGGCTGGCTGCGGGAGGCACACGCCGGCCTCCGTCCTGGGCCCGAGCCGCTGCAGTCTGCGGCGGCGGGTGCGCACGGCCGCCCTGCCCGCCCTCGCCTCCGCCGCGCCTGGCCTCGCCGTCTGTCCTGCGCCTCTGCTGCCTCCGTCCTTGGTCTTGGCCGTCCTCGCCGACCAGAGGAGTCCCCGAGCCCGCGAAGAAGCCGCTCGTGGGCTGGCCCGACCGCCGCCCCTGGGACCTCAGGACAGTCTCTCCCTCTGGGGACTGCACGGTCCTCGTTGGTCAGATCGCCGCTCCTCGCCCGCCTGAAGGCCGGTCTCCGACCGCGAACGCCTGATCGACCCCACCAGCGGCAGCGAGTGCCCAGCGCCCCGGCTGCCTGAGGAGGCGGCCACGCCCCGCGACCACACCCAGGCGGCTTTCCGGCCCGACGGCTCCTGCCTTAGCCACCGGCCCTCTCTCGCCTTCTGTGCAGCGACGCGACGCCCTGTTTGCAGGCGGCGGACCCCTACCCGAGACGCAAGATGGCGGCGGCCGCGTGACTGAGCATCCCCGAGGCTCCGCTCCCGAGGACGCGCCGACGGACTGGTTTGGGGGGCAGGGTGCCGGGCGATAGCAAGACTCTGGTGCCATTTGTTAACCTTGAGTTCGTGTGTAGCTTGCCTTCCTCGGGCCTACTTGGGAGGAGTGTTGGTATTGTTCTAAGTCCTAGAGCACCGCGAGCCTACGTCTAATCCGTGTTTGTAGAATTGGCGCCCTTGATAGTTGGGAAAATGGCGATGACACTGTTGGAAGACTGGTGCAGGGGGATGGATGTGAACTCCCAGAGAGCTTTGCTGGTCTGGGGGATTCCAGTGAACTGTGACGAGGCTGAAATCGAAGAGACCCTCCAGGCTGCAATGCCCCAGGTGCCCTATCGAGTACTTGGGAGAATGTTCTGGAGGGAAGAGAATGCGAAAGCAGCTTTGTTAGAGCTCACTGGCGCTGTCGATTACGCCGCGATCCCCAGGGAGATGCCAGGCAAAGGAGGGGTCTGGAAAGTGGTCTTTAAGCCCCCAACTTCCGATGCTGAATTTTTAGAAAGGTTGCACCTCTTCCTAGCTAGAGAGGGGTGGACCGTGCAGGATGTTGCCCGTGTCCTCGGGTTTCAGAACCCTACTCCGGCCCCAGGCCCAGAGATGCCAGCAGAGATGCTAAACTATATTTTGGATAATGTTATTCAGCCTCTTGTTGAGTCCATATGGTACAAGAAGCTGACGCTGTTCTCCGGGAGGGACATCCCTGGTCCTGGGGAGGAAACCTTTGATCCCTGGCTGGAGCACACTAATGAGGTCATAGAAGAGTGGCAGGTGTCTGACGTGGAAAAGAGGCGGCGGTTGATGGAGAGTCTTAGAGGCCCCGCTGCTGATGTTATTCGCATCCTCAAGACCAACAACCCTGCGATAACCACTGCTGAATGCCTGAAGGCACTTGAGCAGGTGTTTGGGAGCGTCGAGAGCTCTAGGGATGCGCAGGTCAGATTTCTGAACACTTATCAGAACCCGGGTGAAAAGTTATCTGCCTATGTCATTCGCCTGGAGCCTCTCTTGCAGAAGGTGGTGGAGAAGGGGGCCATTGATAAAGATAACGTGAACCAGGCGCGCCTGGAGCAGGTCATTGCCGGGGCCAACCACAGCGGGGCCATCCGAAGGCAGCTGTGGCTGACCGGAGCTGCGGAAGGGCCGGCCCCAAACCTCTTCCAGTTGCTGGTGCAGATCCGGGAAGAGGAAGCCAAGGAGGAGGAGGAGGAGGCTGAGGCAGCCCTCCTGCAGCTAGGCCTGGAGGGGCACTTCTGAGTCCCAGAAAGGCAGCTTTAGTTCAGACCTAGATCACAGTTGCTTCCTATTCCCGGGGGAGTCTTAAGGGTGTGTCTCTGAGTAGTAAAGACTTAGCCTGTTACATTTTTGGGGGTTTTTTTGGGGGAGGGGGTATGGGGGTAGTCAGGCCTGCATATTCATGTAACATTTGTAAAATTGTGCAAGCGAGCACCATGAGCTGCTGCAATACAGGTGTGGGTCATGTTGGCGAAAATGCCAGGTAAAGGTTTGGACACAAGTGCTCAGTGCAAGCTGTCATCATAGTATCATCATCAGTTGTGGAAAAACATATGAACCAGTGACACTTCCCGTGGAGATAATTAAATGTGAAATTGCATGTTCAGATGTTTAATGCAGGGCCTGGCTCATAGGAAGCATTTGGTAAAAATGTGAATTGTTATATTGCTACTGATATCGTGGATAGTGTTTACTGTAAATTGTTCCAGATTTATATTAATGGAAAGAAATGTGAATTTATTAGATATTACTCAACTTTACAATGCAAATTTCTCATCTTTAAACGTGGATCAGTTTAACTGAAAAGTATTCTGAGACTACATAATGGGGTGTTAGAAAAATACTGCAATTATGAGGCCGTGTAAATCGGATTTTCATCGTATAAGATACAGATAATAAATCGCATGGGGAGGTTGATATGACCCATTTACAGTAATCTATTTCCCGTTTCAAATCTTTGTCATGGAATAGTTCTTGTTCATACTGAGTGTTCTAAATTTGAAGTTATCAAATAGAAGTATACAAATAAAAATATTTTAAAAATTCTATTGTTTTGTTTTTCTGACATGTATAAAAATTTTCAGTGTAATTAAGCTCTATATCCCTTTTTCTTTTGCAGATTTTCCCCCATGTCATTTAAAAAATCAAACTTCAATTATTTATTTTACTTTTAAGCTTTATATCATACTATGTGAGTTTAAATTGCATACCTTTTAATGTATTAAAGTTTTACATGTTTTCATCAAGGCAAATGTCAGGTTAAATAGACATATATTTACTTCTATATACATATAAGTAAAATGCTAACTTACTACAAAATTTTAGAAAATCCTGAAAATGGGGTTCAGGAGGTTATCTGACAATGTTTTTTGTTCCTTTTTAAGTCACTTTTCAGCTGAAATTTTTTGTCTCACTGAAAGATTATAACTCATCACACCAGTGTAAAATGAATGTTTTACAGTGGCCATTTTATAGCAAGAAAATATAAAAAGGGAAATGTGGCTTTAAAATATGTTTATTTTGCTGCAGAAGATTCAGTGACTGAAGATACTCATCTTTTGAGAGCCTCAGTAAATCCGTAAGTGATTAGATGAACGTTAAATGTTCAGTGGGCTTTTCCCTAATAAGGTTTTTAAATTATAGCTGACTCATATACAGTCATATCATACAGAATTTATAAAGGCTAATATCGGTATGTTTTTCTGTACACTCGTGTCTGCTTCCCATGTCTGTACCTCCCTCTCCTCACATACATCACGTACTTGCCTCCCTCCTCCACAACATATATGCCTATCTTTACTTTCCCTCACAAACAAATTCTATGTCCCTATCCCCTGCTCACCAGACTCACAGCTTTCCCCTCCGTTCCCACCAGCATCAGGTACACAGACACCCCACCTCTCACACTCCTGTGTACAGTCACTCTCACCTCTCCTGCCATACTCCATAAACACACTCCATCCTCCCATTACATCCTCCCATTACATGTACACCAAACTGTGCCGGTCTCCCACCCAATATATAAACACACACACTCCCACTACCACCAAACGCCAGACCAGCCACCATATGTACACACTCCCACTCCACAAACATATATACATATACACTTTAAAATAAATAGGGGTTCTTTTTTTTTTCCCAATATGTTATGGCCATCCTTCTATAGTCTGTACATAGAGATAGATATACCTTCTTTTTATAGCTGCAGAGTTGATTGCCTCCTAGGAGGAAAGTCATCACCTAGGATTCAGACTTTTACTATTTTATGTAATTACATATAATAATTATATATGTGCATACATATAAATTTAATATAGGTATATATGACATAAAACAATGTCATGATCCTAGATGTCCATCCTTTGTTATAGGAAACAATGAACAAAAAATAACAAGCTATTTATGATCTGAATTAAGGCTTCTTCTTTATAGGTTCAAATTAAAATTTATTTGCTTTTTCAGGGAGGACAGCAGCAAGAAATGTATCCTTCATAATCAACTGTGGAATAAGAGGTAGAAACGGCACTACAGTCCTATTCTGTGACCAAAATTACATTTTGGCTTATAGCTCAGAATATGTGTTGGCAAAATGTGTAATGTTACTGCTATTGCTGGTTCTCAATTCAAGGGCCTATCAGCTAACCTTTACCTTGTACACTTAGGGAAGTAAGGCAAGGACTAAGGAGGAATGGTCAAGTGCCGTGGTGACTTGCCATCCCTGCAAGCACTCTTTCCAGGAGCCTAATAATTTAAAATGGTGCCCAGAGGACTTCTGAGGAAGATTTACAAACCTGGGAAAGATTATCATTGGTAGTAAACTACTGAAAAAAAATTTAGCAAAAAGAAATGAATCTTTTTTACTCTTTTGTGCGTGTGACACACACAAGCTGCGTGAAGTATGTTATCCAAAGGCTGAATTTCTTTGGAGTTGAGTATCACTGGAAGTTTACATAGTTGCTCTATATTAGCTAAAACTAATAATCATATCACCAAAAATACAAATCTTTTTTTATAAAAGAACACAATTTATTACCATTTTAAAACAAATCACAAAATAACATTCAGAAACTCAACATTTCTAAATAATTTAACACAATAAGATTAGTCATAAAGTCATGCTACAAAATTCCTGTATATAAAAGATTATTACCAAAGTATTAATAGATGTTAAGATGTTCTTCAAAATGGAGTTGGTTTTATTAATAGAAGCCAAAGATTCTGGAATGATGCTTGTGATCATAACTGCCGACCTGGGAGAAGTATCTGGCTATATGTGTATTCTTTTCAGCTTCCAACTCCTCGGGCTTTTGATGGGATTGATCCCTCTAGGCAATAGCACCTCAGAGGCAGGTACCCTACTGATCAAAGAAGCAAAGAGCTTCCCACCTATAAAATGTTAGCACAACTTAATTTAGCTAACACCTAATTTTAAAATCTAGATGTGGGAAAGATAACTCACAAAGTTTCTGAGTAGGATGAACTACTTGCTACATCCCCCAGAGGGATGATCTTGGATTTAGCAGACATAGAAGATGACCCTAGTAGGGAAAAAGGAAAATCCTGACTCTGATTATGCCGACAGCAACTGCTAATGTGGGCTTAGAACGAGCAAGGGTGAGGTCTGATTCTCTAACATCCATGTGCAGGCTAGGTATTTACCCATTTGCCCTTTGGAAGTACTTTCTACCAACATCCAGTTCATAATATTAAAGTGCAAATCTACTGAAAAATAGTTTACTCTCCCCTACCCCCGTGTTAAATTTGCTAGATCAACATTTGGTTTGCTGGTTCCCCTCGAACCTGCCCAATATGGGAAATTAACTAGAATCCAGTTATGACTTCCCCAAATATTGAGTGAAAAGTTTTAACTATCTTAGGTCAGAGATAGGTAAGATTTAGTCTAGCTTTTCCTTTTATTTTTCTTCCTTTACAGTCACTGATTTATAAAAAGGCAGGAATAGAGATATAGATAGGGTATTTCTAAAAGTTCAGTTATTTTTAAATATAACCCTTAATTTTTAAAATTTAACCTATTTCATGGTTTTACAAAAAGAAAATGATATGATACATGCTAGAGCGAAGATAAAGGAATACAGCCAAGTTAGCTATGTCAGAAGAAGCACCAACGCTGCTAAACTGAACCTTGTTTTTATATTTCGTTATTTACAGACACATTAAACAGCCCAAATAAAGAAAATGTGTGCCAAAGGAATGAATTTCTGGTAAAATATAACATGCGTTTTAGCATTCTTCTTCCTTTACCAACACTTACAATGTATTATAAGGTCTTAGTGAACTGATGGTCTGAATGCAATCAGAGACACTAGCTACTCATGATGAATGCTTTGACAATTCTCCCAAATGCTTTTAAGTCAATGATTAACTCCAACCTTTGTGAGCCTTACTTTTTTCCATTTAGCCCTAAGAAAAAATCAGGTACAAGATGCTAACTCTATTTACACATCACCAATTCTGAGAATAAGTCAACAGTCAAGATTCATTTCTCATTCCTCCTTATTCTGCTTTAGACCACTAGTAAAAGGTGTCAGAAGAAGAACTTATTCAAGCTGAAATTTCTCTTTCCACACAGGAGCCATATTTTAAGTGCCTTGTATCACCTCTAAATGTAGAATGGATCCAGTAACCATACCAAGTTATTGACCAGTTACTATGAGCAGACATTCTTCTGATCACACCCAAAATTGATGCTGACACCAGCTAACTTTCCTATATGATTATCACATTTTATACAATATTTTTCTGTATTTAATCACTTCCACAGTCTGCAAAATCTGTGCATTATAGACAAGGAATAATAAAGAATGATGATCCATTTTCTAAAGTACACTCAAAATATTAAATTTTAGAAACAAAGTAAAATCTGTCATAAAGTTGGATTCTGTTGATAGTAACAGAGAGGTAGGTTAATACTTACTGTCCTAAGATAAGCAAGAATGTTAAGAAATAAAAGTTGAGACCCTGCTGAAAAAAGGTAAGTTGAACCTTTCAGCCCTGAGTTTCTAACATTATTTGAAAATTATGAAAATGAGCATTACAAAAAAGGGAAACACCAGTGGCCATTTCCTTGCGTCCGTGATTACTAAATACATCACCTTCTCTCATACAACAACTCAAGTGGCACATGGCTACAGAGTGAAAACAAATGGACCCTGGACAAAAGGAATGTTGGTGTAAAAACCACTGGTTCTTTTTTTTTTTTGAGACAGAGTCTCACTCTGTTGCCCTGGCTAGAGTGAGTGCCGTGGCGTCAGCCTCGCTCTCAGCAACCTCAAACTCCTGGGCTCAAGCGATCCTACTGCCTCAGCCTCCTGAGTAGCTGGGACTACAGGCATGCGCCACCATGCCCGGCTAATTTTTTCCTATATATTTCTAGTTGTCCAATTAATTTCTTTCTAATTTTTTAGTAGAGACGGGGTCTCGCTCTTGCTCAGGCTAGTTTCGAACTCCTGAGCTCAAACAATCCGCCCGTCTCGGCCTCCCAGAGAGCTAGGATTACAGGCGTGAGCCACCCGCACCCGGCCTAAACCACTGGTTCTTAACCAGGGGAGAATTTGTTCCCATCCTCCTGCCCCAGGGGACACATGGTAATGTCTGGAGATATCCTTTGTTGTCATAACTGGGGAGGAGGAGGTTCTACTGAAATTTAGTGGGCAGAAGCCAGGCATGCTGCTAAATATTCTATAGTACACAGGTCAGCCCCCCCACAACAATGAATTATCCAGCCAGAAATGTTAATGGTGCCAAGGTTGAGAACCTCTGATTTAAAGGAACAAGTTCCTATTAACAGAGAACACAAAAACTTTTCAAGGCCTGGCTAGATAATACGGCCATAAACTTAGAGTTAGGAAACATAAAAAAATTAAATTCCTTGGTAGACTAGAATCAAATTTGCTGTGAAAAATGAAAATACTAGACTGATTCCAGAGCTAGCTCTACAATCATTTACAAGAATAGAAGAAATTTAAATGATCCACTAAAATGGCTTAATGCTTTAAACCAGAAGCACAGAGAGAATCCATTCCAAGTAGGTCAAATATCTAATCCAAAAGTCATAAACAAAGGCATTTAATATCAGCTCAATTTGCAGCAATAAAGGATAGTTGAAGGAAAGATTTCAGAGGATATCCTCCCCTTCTTCAAACACCCTACCTTCCACTTTCTAATGCATGGATTCTGGCTTTAGTTCCATGAAAACGGATGCATGGAAGTCATTCAAATATCTGTTGAATGGTACTGAATGCGAATTTTGTGTAAATTGGACACAGAAAAGTATCTCACATTTCTCTGAGAACTACTAGTAATTAAAAGAATTTAAGAAACAAGGAGAAAAAGTGAAAATTTGTTTCTATATTATAGAATGCAGAAAAATAAACACCAAAACTGTAAGCCATTTTACAAATAAATTCAATATGAAGTCATCCATTACTTATTATACTCACTTCCAGGTACCTTTTAGAAAACATACCCATACATAACAATATCGCTTCAAGCTTGCCTACTGGATGAAGTACAAAATATAAGTAAAGATGATTGTCTTCCCTCTCAGGTTACAGGCCTTAAACATCACCATGGAGAATGAAGGCTCCTTGTCTACGGTTCACAAAAGAAATGCCCAAAGGCTTTGAATGTATATGCCAGTCATAGTAAAGGTTTCTTCCTGTCAGATTGAAAAGAAGAGATAAATGGAAGCTAAAAACATGTTAGATTAAATTTGCCTCTTATCTGTATTTAGAGTTGATTGTCAAAGCAGTGGTCCCTTTTGATCAGAGTGACTCAGAAAAATCAAGTGATTTCTACTTAATTGATAGCTGAAAACTCCTAAAACCCAGGACTACTTATGCAATCACTTTAAAAAAAATGATTCTATCCTCTTGCACTGTCATTTTATGCAAGTAAAATCCACAAGTAGGTGGAGAAACAAGAATCAATAGTCTCTGGTTGAGGGACTTTAGGCACAATTTGGCAGAGGACCCCTGACTTATTTTCTGCAATCTATTAGTGATTCAGCCATGGCTTCCTATGGACTTCATCTGGTTACTGACTACAATGCCTTGCATTCTCCAGAAATATTTTTTTTTACATGATAAATGCTACTCTCTGCATCTAACTATTGCTTTGCAATTTTGAGGTTAAATCACCTCCAGTGCTTCATGTAGGAGACAATCCTTAAACATATTGCCTTTTGCCTGGGATCCCATAATGAAATATCTCTTCTCTCTTCCCTCCACAACCACTTGCATAATACATTTTAAGAGCTGTTTAACTTAGAACTTCTCAAAAAATATATTTTGAAATACTAAGTTTCATTTATTGAAAAGTACCAAATTCAATCCTTAAGTCTATACCCTTATAACCATAATGATCACTTTTTCCAGCAATGAGGGTCACCAGACCAAATCATTAGGGTGAATTTTGATATATATCAATTATCAACATTTAGGCTTGGAATTGAAATGTAACAACTGCTTTTAACATATAAGGAACTATAAGCCAAAAAGTATGCTTAAAGCCAGGTCCACATGAGTAACATGGCCACATTACTGGTCAAAGGAATGATCATAAGAGTCATTTTAACCATTGACTTGGATCACAGAATGACTGATTGTACACAATGACTCAAGTGGCCATGCATATAAACACAACCTAAATTCCAGCTGGCAATGTGCATATTTTTGGAAAAACAAATAAATATAATATGAGCTAGAAGGCCTCCAAGATATTAATTTTTCCATTTTCACCATAGCTTTTCCAACTGGACTTTCGAGTCTTGGTTCGAGGGCTGGTGTGTTTCTAAGAGGAACTCTTCCCGTCACCATGCTGCCTTCTCAACCAAAGGCATGCTATACTTGTGCTTCTGAGTTGTAAGGTGATGGACCTTCAGGAAAGATGTTCTACACATTCAAAAGTATATCTTTTAAAATGCCTAACCTAAAAAAGCTAAACAAATTGAATAAAGAACATTTGTTCCTTTGTTGTTAAAAGTGAAGGGCCACACAGTACATAACTGGGACTGAAGACAAAAATAGAAAATTTGTAGTTTCTAAAAAGAGGACTAAAATGTATAAAGTTGGTGTTACCAGTTTTAGGGAGAAAAACGCTGAGTAGATTAAGAAAAGAAAAGATGGGAATGAGAGATTTGTTTTATCCTAAGAACCTTTTGCCCCACACAGAATCTTTAAAAGAGACAATTATATAAAACTTATCTACTGTTCTTATGACATTTAAATAAGTTAACACAAAGTGGAAAATGTGGAGTTAGTTTTCTTCTTCCTCATCCTCTTTAATTACTGGAGTACCTAAAACAAAAAAGAAAATTATTACTGGTCATTCTCAACAGATTATTAAAATTCAGATGAAAATATTTTCCTGTTAACCTGAGAAGCTCTGAGATACCTTGAAGTGTGCTATAATAAAAATAATTTTATAAAATAATATATTTGATTCAAATTCTCTAAAAAGCCTCTCAGGAAAATTCTTAAATGGATTAATATATAAATACTTATGAATATTCAGCTTCCCAAATGCAGAGTTGCAAATGAAAATGCCTACAAATGCCGGGCAGAAAATTAAAGTAAGCTCTATACACCTTAAACTCTTTTTTTTTGTATAGATGGGGTCTTGCTGTGTCACTCAGGCTGGTCTTGAACTTGTTCCTAGCCTCAAGTGATCCTCCTGCCTTGGCCTCCCAAAGTGCTGGCATTACAGGCGTGACCTACCACACTCGGCCCAAAAAACTTCTAAGTTAAGCACAAAGAAATATTCTTCATTTTTCACAATAAAATACATAATCCCAGTGTAATTAAAATTTGAATTTTTATGTGAACTCCTCCAATTGCTAAACATTGGGGATAAATTGAAAAAAGAAAAAAATCACTGCAGGGAAAACAAAACACATCTGTAGGCCCTCACTGGGCCAAAAGCAACCCGTTTCTGAGTTGTAGCATTTGAAGCCACAATCTGACCCCAGTCTAGTCATCTCTGCACATCATTGCTTCAGGGGCAGTATGGAAAGCAGAAACAGACTGTAAGATTGGCTGTCTTTTGTCTTTGAAAACCTAAGAAGACCACTGAGAAGATGTAGTTTGTGAGGAGACAGAATGATGTGGAGGAGGGGGATGATGATTCTTCCTAGACTGGAAAGATATTTCCCTGGGGATGTCTGGGAGTTCTGGAATAGTAGGAATCCTGGCCCTGCTCCCTAATAGCAACACTGGGAGAAGATAAGACTCAGAGAGGAATGGCTGTTTTATCTAGGGAGATATTCCTATAGCCACCAAGAATCTCATTCTCAAAAAGCACTTCCATAATCCAAGCATAGCATGGATGCAGCAGGGAGCAGGCAGGATCAGTCCTAAATGGGCCTTAGGACTGGGGACAATAGATATCTCAGTAGTAACCTCTGGGGGCAGTTGACCAATGACCAGAAGAACTCTCCTCATGAGTGGCCCTAGAATAGTGGCATAATCCCAGGGGAGACTTTAAGAATGACAGACTAAATTTCTTAACAACCTAGCTGAACTGAATTTGGGGAGGTAGGGTTTAAAGTCAAAATGAGGTTGATTTATATTGAAATATTTCTTGTACATATGAGTTTTTGGATTGATATTAAAATCTTCTAAAATGATCATAATAATGAAAATAATATATTTCTGAATACTTACATTGTGCTAAGCACAATGTTTAACATAAATTATCTCAATAATTCAATGTCTTCATAATCATGGGATTATGTATTTTATTGTGAAAAATGAAGAATATTTCTTTGTGCTTAACTTAGAAGTTTTTTGGGCCGAGTGTGGTAGGTCACACCTGTAATGCCAGCACTTTGGGAGGCCAAGGCAGGAGGATCACGAGGCTAGGAACAAGTTCAAGACCAGCCTGAGTGACACAGCAAGACCCCATCTATACAAAAAAAAAGAGTTTAAGGTGTATAGAGCTTACTTTAATTTTCTGCCCGGCATTTGTCAATGTTCAATGTTCAATGTCTCACATAGATTATTTCATTTAATCATAACACTAAGATATATGCTTTAAAATGATTATTAATGGTACTATTATCATCTCTAGTTTTTAGATTACAAACGAACAAGATTTGGCAAGATTAATTAATTAGCATAATGTCACAAACACTGTTAAGTGGTAGAGCTGGGACTTGACCCAGCCAGTCAGGGATATCTACTGACACTGACATCAGTTTTAGATATTGGGAAACTACAATTGGGTGTGGGAGGAGAGAAAGTGAGAGAGAACACCACAGTTTTGATCCAACTGTAAAAAAGCAACTACTTACCAATTATTTCTAATTATTCTGCCATACAATATCTTTGTGACTTGAGAAAAAGCTTAGCTTTCTTTTTAAATAGCTTAAATGAACTAGCAATTTGTTTTTCTTTTACATAAAACTTCAAGTAGATAGTAGATAGTTATGAACTTTGTGTTATCAGGAACTCAAGATCCTTCTCTCTTACTGTTTGCATGTATGACCTCTTCGTGATAGAAAAGAAAGAGGCTCAGTACCGAACCCTGAGTAACTCCAGCTTTAATTCAACCTATCAGCAGAAAATTTATGTCAAGAAAGAATATACAATTGTGTTTTTTTTTTTTTTGGAGACAGGGTATCACTATGTTGCCCAGGCTGATATCCAACTCCTGGACTCAAGGCATCCTCCTGCCTCAGCCTTTGAGTCGTTGGGACTACAGGTGGCACCACTGCACCGAACTTCAAGAATATACAATCTTTAACTAAAAGGGCATTGTGTAGTTATTTGTTATATTTCTTATCCCCTCATAAGATTATAACTTTCTTAGTGATAAACACTATTTTAATAATCACTTTTTACCCTCAGTAGAATGCCAAGCACAATACGTAGTTCTTATTATTTATTGATTAGATTAATGAATGAAAGAAAAGGTTTGGAAATTATTGCTGTTACACATTTGGCTGTGCTTGAATAGACATCCCAACATGCTGGATGGCAAGCAATCCCCACATATACATAAATATATATATACATTTGTTGGTTTTTTTTTTTTTAAGAGATGGACCCAAACTCCTATTGTCCAGGCTGGGCCCAAACTCCTGGGCCCAAGCGATCCTCACACCTCAGTATCCCAAGTAGCTGACACTACAGGCATACACTCCTGTGACTGGCCCCACATATATTTATAAGGTCTAGCTTTCTTATAAGCTTTTGGTCTAGGGATGGTCTTGTAACAGTCTAAATATCCTAGGAATTTTTCATGTTACCCTGGCCCAAACCTGGACCATTAAATTTTATATGGATAGAAATGGCCTTGAAGATTAGAAATAACCTATCATTTTCTTCAGTTTTTTTCCTTTTCATGATTCCATGCCACAGATTTGACTTTTATACATACATAACATTTCCGAGCCAGCTCAGAGTCACTTACCATCCAGCTTTTTCAGTTTGGGCACTCTCTTAGTTGCCTCTTCAATCCAGTTGTTCTCAGCAGAATGTTTCTCTTCCAAGGGATTGCCTACAAACACTAGATCTTCCAGGCATGGCAGTTCTGCCAGCTTCACAAATTCAGCTACAAGTGCAAAGAATATTTTCCATATTAAAACAGCAAGTTTTACTGTTACAATTTTGGGGATTAAATTCCAATATCGCTAACCCTCAGTTTGTGACTATTCAGCACAATTAGTTGTTTAAGATTTTGAAGGAAGTTAGGAAAGTTATACCATATGAAGTTATTCTCGGAAGACATTGTGGGACTGGAGGGAAAAAGAAGACATACTACTTCTACCTTTAATGCTAGCCTAAGGACGGGATAAGAAGAGGGTATGAAGTTTGGTGTCAAAAAGAACAAATTGGCCCGGCATGGTGGCTCGTGCTTGTAATCCCAGCACTTTGGGAGGCTGAGGCAGGAGGATTGCTTCAGGCCAGGAGTTTAAGACCAGCCTGGGCAACACAGCAATACCCCATTTCTACAAAAAAATAAAAAAATTAGGTGGGCATGGTAGCATACCTCTGTAGTCCCAGCTACTCAGGAGGCTCAGGCAGGAGGATCGCTTGAGCCCAGGAGTTGGAGGCTGCAGTGACCTATGTTCGGGCCACTGCATACTCCAGCCTGGGCAACCAAGCAAGACTCCATCTCAAAAAAAAAAAAAAACAACAAATCAACCTCCAGTGATAGGATTTCTCTATGCCATGCTGCGGCAGCATAGGCTAAGCCAAACTGCCTTTGTCTTTACCCATGCCTCCATCTTTGAATTCTTAAAGCAACTCATTAAAATCTCTATTACAGAACTTATCACATAGTTTTCTAATTATTAGCTATAAACTAATTTTCCCCACTAAGCTGTGAACTCCTTGTGGGCAGGGATAGTACCCTATTCAACTATATCTCAAAAGTCTGGCATAATTCATGGCATATAAATGAATGAATAATGTACAATAAAAAAGCAAAGCAATATAGATATCAAATGTCTTTACCCATGAATTATTACATTTAAACAGATTCCTTTAGCCTTTGGATAATAACTTAAGTTTTTTTCATGATTAATAAGACCAGAGTCTATCCAATTATATTCATTCTAACTAAATATTTAAATATAAATTTTAAGCATTTAAAATTCAGGAACTCATAGCTATTTCTTTCACAGCTTAGAAATAAATGTTCCCATTTTCTCTCTGTACTTAGAAATACATTCTTTTTCCCTATTCAGCCATTTTCTTTTTTTTTTTTATTTCAGCATATTATGGGGGTACAGATGTTTAGGTTACATATGTTGCCCTTGCCCCCCCTACCCAAGTCAGAGCTTCAAGTGTGTCCATCCCCTAGATGGTGTGCATCACACTCATTATGTATGCATATACCCATCCTCTCCTCCCCTCTCCCAGCTGCCTGACACCCAGTAAATGTTATTCTTATATGTGCACTTAGGTGTTGATCAGTGAAGCCAATCTGCTGGTGAGTACATGTGGTGCTTATTTTTCCATTCTTGGGATACTTCACTTAGTAGAATGGGTTCCAGCTCTATCCAGGAGAACACAAGAGGTGTTATATCACCATTGTTTCTTATAGTATTCAGCTATTTTGTATGAACAGGAAGTAGAAGGTTAGCAAAGAGCCATTCTCAGCTTACCCCAGTCTCTCACCAGGTTATTAGACATGTAGAGAATCTTCAATTTCTTCATTACATGAATCCCTTTCAATTTCTCAATAAAATTGTAGGAGATCCACAATTCTTCTAACGTGTCCCCTACTGCTTCCTGAAAAAGAAAGACATTTGATTTACATGCTCATTTTTAACCTTTTCCTTTTATCTCTTTCTTTATAAACATATAAACAATAGCTTTCAAAGAGAACTAAGACCTTCCTGTAGGAGAGGGTCTACCTGTAGGAGAGCTGATAGCTGTGTGTGTAGGGGGGTTATTTCTCATTGAGGGAGCCAAGCAGAACATTCTCTTCCTCTCTTCATATTGATCCAGACTCTTCCTTCTCTGACTGCTTCACTAAGCAAAAACTCATAAAACATAATACTTCACTAAGAACAGCTACCAAAATCATCCAGAGGGGGAATAATTGCACTATTGTATCACTTTCATTAATGGTATAGTTTTTAAATTACATTCCTATAGATTATATTATTTGGTCCTTACAACATTTAAAGTTGATAGGGCAGATTATTTGATTTCTATTATAGAGAGATTAAGGGCTTTTTAAATGAAGACACTGGTATTAAATAATAGAGCTAGGTCTAAAGTTTAGGGTTTTCCCCAACATTTATTTTGAAAATTTTTAAACATAAAAAAGTTGAAAGAATTTTATATTAAACATCCATATATATCTACTATCCAGAGTCTTCCATTAATATTTTGCTATACTGTCTTATTACGTATCTGTCCATCCATCTAGCCCACATCCATCCTTTTATCTTACTTTTTTGATGTATAATATTCAGTTTTAATCTTTCCAATATAATATTAAGGTTATATGATACTGCCTCTTAAATGCTAAATATAATCAATAGTTGCACAAAGACTTTTCTTTCTTTTATAGACATAAGACAAATATAATGATCCTTTTCTTTAAAAAAAAAAGACAAAAAAAGTACAAGGCAGGATCAATTAGATGCTCCATAACTTAAGGACCTAGAAGGTCACATTAAGGCCTTTAAAATGTCATTTTAAAGTCATTCTTTGATGCTAAGAAAGATCCCACTGAAATATGGAAAAATGTATTAGAATACCCACACCTTCAGCAACATGCTCAAAAAATGCTTTCTTGCTTTTTAACCATTTATTGCTGCGAATCTACATTCTACCTAACCCAAATCAAGACGCCCTTATGGTCACAAATGACTCATGCCCATTTAGAGGATCAGCTGAAACTGTGGACCTCCATGCTGCAACCAAATATCCAAATGCTTTCCAACAAAAAGCAGACATAACAAAGTCATTAAAAGGTTAATTAACTTTCAAATTAACAAATAGTTTTCACTTTTTGAAATTATTAAGTACACAGTAGTTAGATCTTTACAAAATAATGTATATTTTTAAGTTTATCTAATTGAAGTTTCTTGAATTCGTCATTGGATTACAGCTAAATTAATTCGGGCTTCCAACATGAAAAGGTTCCCCACCCCTGCTCTGTGATGTTTGTACAATGACAAAATCACCTAATGTTGCATTTCTCAGAATGTATCCCCATGGTTAAGCAATACATGATGAAATTTCAAAATAGCTAGAAGAGAAGATTTTGAATGTTCTTACCATAGAGAAATAATAAATGTTTGAGGTGATGGATATGCAAATTATCTTGATTTGATCATCACACAAGTTTACAGTGTATATATACCAAAATATTACATTGTA